ATCCTGACCTGGACTTCCAATAAGTTTAAAAGCAGTCCCAGGACAGCTCCCACCTCTTCCATGCCCAGAGAGCAGAGGCCAGGCAGGACCCACCTTGTGGTACAGCTTCTGCTTGGTGTTCAGTGTCTCCAGGTAGAAGAGGTTCTGTTTGAACAGGTGAATGTCAGGCTGCAGGAAGGACTGGCCAAACGCCTGGAACAAAGCACAGAGGGAGGAAGGGCATGGAGAGCACCACAAACATCAGGGCTGCCAGCAAAAACAGCAGCATTTTCACCCTGACAAACCCCTGGCAGCCTCAGTGCAGCAAGATAACAAGAGACAGGCAGTTCAGATCACCCGTGCCAGCAGGTCTATGACATTTTGGTGGCAACATGGACATATCCCTGCAGAGCTGGCTCCACTGGGATCAGGCAGGCCAAGCTGGCACTGGAGAGGGCCAGGGATGCTGAGCCTTCCAGGGCAGGGCTGCTCCTCAAGGTGTCACCTGAGGCAGCACAGCACAGGGAACAGACCAGGACACAGCCCAGGGGGGCTCTCAGCCTCAGCCAGGAGCCCAAGCAGTGTCACTGCCCTGATTTAGGATTTGGAGATGATTTAGGGTTTAGGTCCTGGGAGGCTGTGCAGGGAAGAGCCCAGAACAAAACCTGCTGGAGCTGAGCTGAGGGCTGCACAGTGTGTGATCAAACATCTTTTCCACCCTGAACACCTCCAAAGCCCTGGACAGGGGATGAAGGTGGGTGAGGTCAGCTCTGTACAGAGACAGGCAGCAGGATTTTAACAGCTCCTCTTCAAGGCATTGTGAGCAGAAGAGTTTATTCTCCCACATGACCCATTTATTGTCAAATGGACAAAAATGACCCAGATCCCATCAAGACTGAGCTAGTTCTGGCCTCAGATCTCAGGTGGAAATCAGGATACAAACTATTAATATCCCCCACACAAAGCCCTGGCTGTGGGAACACTTACAGAGCATGAAATGGGAGTTTTGTATCAGAGCACCAAGAGCCAAGAAGCAAAACAAGCAGCGAGGTATTGTCACCCTCAGTCTGAACTGAGATTATTACATCAATATCTTCCAGAATGAGGCATTCAAGAGAGGTTGGAAGTGTTACACTGCTACAGGTGAGAGAGATGCTTGGACAGCCCTGCACAGGAGCCAGCCTGGGCTGCAGTGACACCAAAAGGTGGCAGGAGAAGGAAAGGCCAGTGAGAAACAAGGCCCAGGTTATGTCAGTGCAAGAGCTCCCTCTCCTCATGTGCACCACAGGGGACTCAGTTTCTCCAGGCGCTCTACCAGGGGGAAACTCTCCCAAAGTTCTCCCACCTGCAGTCTAAGGTGATCTAGGAATTGCAGGGGAACTCATCTGGCCAGCTCTGACTGAACACATGGAACACAGCCTGTTATTCTTAAAAATTCCAATATCCCAACCTGAGAAGGCTGGAGCTGGCTCTGTGCACACACTCTCTCAAGGGGCTCCAGGAGAGCTGCAGAGGGACTGGGGACAAGGGATGGAGGGACAGGACACAGGGAATGGCTCCCACTGCCAGAGGGCAGGGATGGATGGGATATTGGGAATTGGGAATTGTTCCCTGGGAGGGTGGGCAGGCCCTGGCACAGGGTGCCCACCCTGGATCCCTGGCAGTGCCCAAGGCCAGGCTGGGCAGGGCTGGGAGCAGCCTGGGACAGTGGGAGGTGTCCCTGCCATGGCAGGGGTGGGATGGGATGGGCTTTAAGGTCCCTTCCAACCCAAACCAGTCCATGATTCTCTATTCCCCAGGGTAAAGCCTGTCAGGTGTTACCCCCTGACCCCCATCAAGGCTTGTTGTACAGCACTCACTAAGTCCATGGAAAACAAAAGACACTCAGGAAAACTTCCCAGCACTGGCAGCTCTCCCCAGTGCCAGTCACAACACTCAGAATTAAATGGGTCAGTGACAGTAATGTATTTTTATTGCAGGATGAGGCTTGCAAAAAAATTATCATTCCTTCCTCATGCCTGCATGGCTCTGTGCCTTGTGAGCTCAGCAGCTGGGTCACTCCTCAGCAGTTTCATTTTCAGCAGTTCTGGGAGGCAAAACTTCCCTCAGGCTCATCTAAACCCATCACCCACATGTGCCCAGGTGGGACCCTCACAAGAACAAAAACATTGAGGGGCTGGAAGGGAACAGAGTGGGGAACAGAGCTGGGGAAGGGGCTGGAGCACCAGGAAAGGCTGAGGGAGCTGGGAAGGGGCTCAGCCTGGAGAAAAGGAGGCTCAGGGGGGCCCTTGTGGCTCTGCACAGCTCCTGACAGGAAGGGACAACCAGGGGAGTCCCAGGGAACAGGGACAGGAGGAGAGGAAACGGCCTCAAGTGCCAGGAGGTTTAGGTTGGATATTGGGAAAATTCCTTCATGGAAAAGGTGGCCAGGCCCTGGCACAGCTGCCCAGGGCAGTGCTGGAGTCCCCATCCCTGCAGGGATTTAAAAGCCATGTGGATGTGGCACTTGGGGACATGTTTAGTGGTGGCCTTGGCAGTGCTGGGGGGAATGACTGGAGTCAATCTCAGAGGGCTTTTCCATCCTTAATCATTCTGTGATTCCCTGTTTAGTGCTGCCCTGCAGGACAGGCTGTGGGCAGTGCTGGGAAAGGTGAGTTACCTGCATGATGGCACTGAACTGGGCTTCATTCTCCATCTGCTCCTCTGCCACTCCCCTCTGCACGCTGGCCAGCACGCTGGATTTGAAGAAGTACCTCCAGTTGTGGTGCAGCACCCGGAAGAGCAGCTCAAACAGCTCTGCCTTCACATCAGGGGATGAGCGCTGCCAGGAGAGGGGACAGAGCTCAGGGCAGGCTCCTCTCTGGGACCCCACCCTCCCATCACAGCACTTCCAAGGGAGCAGCAGCCCCAGCAGCTGTAGGATCATGCTGAAAACACATCCCTGACTCTGAGCTCTACCTCCTGCTTTGACCTCCTCCCTAATTTTAGCTTCTCTTGAAATCCCTGACAAAATCCTCCACCCACTCTGTTTCCAATCCCACTGGCTGCTCCCCCCCAGGGTGTTTTCCCTCCACACTTGCAGCTCATGGAAATTCAAAACTTCACTGCTGCCACTGATACCTTGGGGTTTAAGTTTTTCTGTTTTGTTTTTCTGTGCAGCTTTTAGCTTTATATTAAGTGTTACTGGGATCTTTTCACAGGGTGGTGAAGACAACACAATCCTATTCCAGCTGGAGACTCAAGGACAATCTCTTCAAACTTGAGGCCCAAAGTATAAATAACAGGAAAAGAGGAGGGTGGGCAAGCAAGGAGGATGAAACTTCCTAATTTGAAGCCATTAATTGGACAGTTGGCTCCTGTATGCAAATGGACTAAAACTTATAAAAATGTGAGATCTTGTGACCAAGCTCTTTTGTTTCCATCTTGGAGCCCCTCAGGCAGAGCCATGACTGTGGAGGATGGGTCCAAAGAGAGATGGAGACTCCCAGTGCCACTGAGGGTCCCAACTGCTGCCCCCCCAGACACACCTGACTGTCCCTGCTCCCCCTCTCTCCCATTCCCATTTCCCAGTATCAGGGGTGGTAACTCCATTCCAACCACGCAAAGGCTGTGGCACAAACCCCCAAATCCTGACCTGGATTTCCAGGTAGTTTAAAAGCAGTCCCAGGACAGCTCCCACCTCTTCCCATGCCCACACAGGACCTGAGCTCTGCTACTGCCAGGGTGTGGCCTTGGAAATAAAAATCCACTTTATTCTTCTTAACTCTATCTAGGCTTTGTTCCAGCTGCATAAGGCATCACCACCCCCCTGTAATCATGGTACTTTCTGAAAAATCCTTTCCTTAGGATTTTTCCTCCTGAGAAGCTGAGAAGCCTCAGGAGCAAAATGTAAACATTGATTGTCTGCTGCTGTGGAATGCAACAGGTGCATCTGGGATTGGTCTCATGTGGTTGTTTCTGATTAATGGCCAATCACAGTCAGCTGGCTCAGACTGTCTGAGACACAAGCCTTTGTTATGATTCTTCTTTTTCTACTCTTCTGATGAAATCCTTTCTTCTATTAGTTTAGTATAGTTTTAATGTAATATATATCATAAAATAATAAATCAAGCCTTCTGAAACATGGAGTCAACATTCTTGTCTCTTCCCTCACCCTGGGACCCCTGTGAACACTTTCACACCTCCCCAGCAATGCCTCCCCTCCCCTGCCCTGCCCTGGGAGCTGAATACCTCTGCAATGATGGGATAGACCTGCTCCATGCACAGGGAGATCACACTGGGCAGGAAGGGTTTGAACACCTGGCCTGGCTCCTGCACCACCACCTGCAGGATCTTCAGGAACTTCTCCACCACGCGGCAGCCCGTGCTGCCCTCGTGCAGGATGCTCTCTGCCAGCTGCTCCCTGCGACACAAACAGCCATTAGGAACATCCCCAGGGATCCAAAGGCTCACCTGCTTTACAGGAAAATTGGTGATGCCTCTAAAAGACTCCTTTAATACTGGCCAAGTACATGGAGGCACAGAAGGGAGGGAGGTTTGACTGAGGGTTGACAGACTCCCCCTCCCCAGCAAAAGATGCGTGAGGGGACACTCTCAGACCTTGGGCAGGAGCTAAGAGGGGATGTGAGAGTCCAGTACAACACCCCACACAGCCAGCAAGTCTGTGGGAGAGCTGACATTGCACAATGGCAGCTGTGACTGATGTGCACTGGGTCTCTCCACGCTTGGAATTGTTTTCCTCAGATTCAGTCCTGGGATGTGACAAAAGTCACAAAGGCTGCAAACAGCCTACTTTAGGGACAGGGACCAGCTGGCTGAGCAGCTCCTCAGATAAACCCTCCTGAGGGGAAGGAAGAAGTGACCAGGGCTGGGCAGTACCTGGTGAACATGTTCAGGAAGGTCTGTATGATCTGCTCAGTGAAAGGCACTCCCATCTGCACCCTCAGGCCTTGGAACAGGGTGAGGAAAAAGCTCAGCATCTCATCTGTCACATCTAAAAGAGGAGAAAAGCAACAAGAACATGTTAAGGAAACATCCAAGTGCATCAAAAAGTCTTTTATGTTTAAGTCTGAAGTTTGCTCCTCCTGTTCAGGGAACCCCATTTACTCTTGGGAATTTACCAACAGGGTTGTCTGAGAAACTGAAACCATCAGCTGGTTCCTACAGGGCTTCAGGAGTGTTCATCCCCTTCCAAAACCTGCCAGGGATGACCAGCACAGGCAGCACCCACCCCTCAGAACAACCAAAATCCTGCCAGCAAGGCCTGAGTGTGCTCAGAGTGCTGGCACAAAGCCCAGGGGCAGCTCCAGGCCCATCTCCAGTGCTCACTGCTCATAGAGGGTTAACAGGAAACACCAGGAAATCCAAAACACCCACAGAGCTGGGGTGGAGGAGACAGAATCCAGCTTGTTTTTTTGGCAGGAACTGAGAAGACCCTTCTATCCTCAGAAGTGAGCACGTGGTGGTGCAGTGAGCTGATCAGCACCCAGCTGATCCTTCAGCCATCCCAATAAACAGTGGATGACCAAGCTGGAGCTGCTCACCTCCTCTCTCATCACACAGCCTTTGAGAAGGCAATAAATAGCAATTGATGAGGCTGTTCTGAAGACGAGAGCTTCCTGGAGTCACAGCATCTTTGCTGCTGCCTTGGATCCCCTGCATTTCACTGCTTTTGTCTCCCCTCAACCCCCACCACTGAGAAAATCCCACCCAGCTCCAAAGGGAACAGGAGGAAGCACCAGATGTGACACAAAATGCAAACTGCTGGCCAGCAGCCTGCCAAGTGACAGTCTCAGGGAAAGAAACCCCCAAATTCCTCATCATTTGACCCAATCTGTTGACAACTATTCCTCTTAATGGTAAGTACAGCCAGAGTATTTTAAAGCTTATTTTTTGTGCTCAGGACCAGCTCCTCTTTGAAATTGTGACAACCCTGCCTGGATCCTGGCTGGCAGGGATGTCCCTTCAGCCCAGCTCTCCCAGCACACCCAGGCACAGCAACCCCACACACTCCACAGCCACACCACAGCTCTGCTGCTGCTCTGGGTGCCACCAGGAGCTCAGAAAGCTACTCACAGCATGACCCCTGGCCTGAGGTTATACCTGACTGATGAATGAAAGCTGGGAAGAGGGCTAGTGAGACCTGCACGGATTCTTGCAGCGACTGATAACAGATCTGCCGGGACTTGGTGGATTCTCCAGAGACACTTTCCACAATGTCTTCCAGAACGCTCAGTGTCTGGTGGATGATCACTTTGGCTGCAAAACAAGAGGGGTGATGCTTCTTGCATGTGCCAAAACTGCTCACAGGTAAGAGGAAGAGAAATTAAGCTCACACACAGAGTAATTAAAACCAATGATGGGTGACACTGCAGATTTCTGAATGATTTCTAAAGTGATCCTCAATAAAAAGAAAACCAAATCACAGCAAACCAGGCCCAAAGCAGCAGTTATATATATACATATACATACAGCAGTTTCCCTGCACCCTTGCCAAGAGTTTCTTTGCATTCCTCCTATATAAACAAACCTTCTCCAGTACTTCCCAAGGAAGAAATTCTTATTTTCCCCCTTCACTTTTTGCAATCACGATCTTTGTTAACGCTGCTTCCAGCCAGTTTTCTAATACTACACAAGAGGCTGTTCAGTATTCCCAATGCAATCCTTACTATTTAAACTTTTATCCCAACCCTGATCCCAGGAAGACAGCACTCTAATGGAAGAATTTACAGTGACCTGGGATGAGAGTGCCCTGTACAGAGCAGAAAAGCCTCTAAAAACAAAAATAAAACCCAACCCGCTCCTTCGCCACCCTCCCCATATGCGAAACAACTTCTCAGCCAAAATAACCACTGTGAAATCAGCTTAATGAGCCTCCCCAGTGCAGCAGGAGTGAGCAGGACTCTGGTACTTACTGTCCTCCAGCTGCACCTTCCTCTGGGGCAGGCTGGC